TCAGAATCGATTGCCAGCAGTTAAATTGTTAGGTTTCCATTAACGTTTCAATTCGATAAGTTAATAAAAATTTAATTATGAAATTTATGCACCTCAGATGTCTTCTAAAAAGTGCTAAAAAAAATGTATCTTTTATGAATGCATTAAAAATAGGTGTAGAGTTAATCTGTGGAACATATAAATATCAAAATGGATTTTTGGCTTTAATTCTGTTTGGTTTTTTTTTAGTTGAAAGTCTACAAAGAGCCTTCCTGTGATTCGATACCACTTCTGTTAGCAAAGATAATAAAAATCAGAAATAATTCATCGCAGCAGAGAAACTTGTACCGGTTCGTTACTGCCAACTGCATAGTTAATCAATAAGCCATGTTGGAATTGGCCACTTCAGCTATTGAGTGCTTTTGCTCACCTTCGAATTGTGCTCAACAATTGGTGACCGATTCAGCAGCAGGCAGAAGCTCTGCAATTCGATTGAACCTCAAAATATAAAAGAAGCATAAAACACACAGAAACTACAACAAATGCACTAGCCAAGGCAAACAATACACAAAGCCACCCAACAACTCAGTGCCATCTGAGCCACCATCCACTGCTCTTGCTTTTGTTACTGCTCCTGCTCGTGCTCCTACTCCTACTCCTGCTTCTGCTCCTGCTCCTGATGGCTGTCGCTTTTGCTGTTGCTGATGTCGTTCATTCACTGCGCACTCTTTTGCATGTCCGGCATTTCGCACCAATTGTTGCCATTAAATTTGCACGTATAAAGCGAAAAATGCCAAAAAAAAATAAATATATATATATATAGAAATTGCACGACAACGAGACCAGAACACACAGAACAGAACAAAATACAAATATACACAGAGAGAAAAACAAGTGCAATAACTGTTAATATATATATATTATAAATATATATTTGCTGTGATCAATTTTTTTTTTTTTGATTGCTTTGCGAAAACCAAGACTAAAACTGTACTATAAATTTAAAAAAAAAACCGTTTGTTTGTTCCTAAGAAATCTATATATATAGTTATCCGATTTAGATGATGTGTGAGAAACATATTGAAACGCATAACTGATGAGTTGATAACTTGGCGAACAAAAAAATCTTTCATACGGAAGTTTATCATTCGAACGATCATTCCTATGGAAGCTATATGATATAGTGATCTGATCCAGTTCTGATAGCACCAAAATGCCATTTTACAATTTTGATCAACCTAGCCTAAAAACTAAGGAACTAACTCACACAGAAACTGATAGACAGACTGCTATTTCAACTCGGCTACTGATTCTGTTCCAGAATACACATATACCTAATGGGATCGGAGAGATCAACTTCAGTGAGTTCTCTTAATAAATAATATATAAAATAAGACTCTTACAAAAGCCAATATTCAAATTGAATATTGGTCTTTAAAAAAAACCCCACACAAATCATTTGCTTTATGCTTTTTGTTGGATAAATTTTAATTGCGCTTATATCAAGTAATTCGCTAGAATTACAAATGCTTGCTTCGTGCTAATTTGTGACTAATTTAAGCGCGGTCAATTTTTGGTGCTGTGTACGCTGAACATCGAACACAACACACACAAAACAAGAACGACAAGCGACAAATGCCGGCAACACGTAGCCGGCAATCACTAGAATTGGCAATAGGTTGGTCGGAAGAAGGGGGGGCGACTAGGAACGAGGAACGAGGAACTGGGATTGAAATTGGAATTGGGATGCTCAGAACAGTTGTGGGTGGGTGAGTGTGAGTGTGAGTGTTTTTTGTTCGCTTTGTGTTTGTGCTGAGCAGACTGCGACAAATTTCACGCTCAAATGTTTGAAGCGCGCCGGCGCAATGCGAGAGCAGCATCCACCAAAGGATAAGAGATGAGGCCAGCAGCAAAAGGATGCCGGCAAAGCGGAAATGTTCAGTTCATTAGCGAAGCGTGCGCGTCGTGTAACGGACGTGGTTCTTCTTAGCCAGTTCTCGAGCCGAGCAGTTCTTGCTTGCTATTATTGGTGCTAGCCGTAAGTCGCGTACTTTCCTCTGTGTTTTGCTGTGTTGCAAAGTTGAAAGTTGCTTTGTTGCTGCCACGCCGTCGCCGCAGTTGCCGCTGTGTTTCGAGTGTGAGTTGTGGAGAGCGCGCGCGCGACTTCTTCTCAAAGTCAAAAGTCACACTCGGAGAAAAAAAAAACAATAGAGCGCTTACAATTCTAAACTCAAATACAAACTTTGCTTTAGTACAAAAGTTTTTTTTTTAAGAACTTTCTTATCCCAACTTTCTTAATGCGTTCTTAATTGAAATCAGCAATTTAGTACTTATTTAAAGCTCTTCAGCTTATAAATCAATGAGAATAACATTTTAGAATTAAAGTAACCAAGCTTACGTCAAGAATTAATTTAATTAATTACTTTAATTGAGAACAAGTGCGTTTCACATTTATTTTAAGTAAACTATTACTTGAAATAAGATTTTTTGGAGTTCGATTCAATGACTTCAGATTTTACTTTTAGTTCGGTTTTTAAATCAAGATAGACTTGTGCTTACTTAATAATATTCAAAAAGACATCGAAACTGTAACTATTCCGTTCTATTTAGACTTAGTACAGGACTTTTCGCTCAGTGCATGCAAAAGACAAGTGCAAAAACAGCCAAAAGCGGACAAAAATTCGCCAACTTCAAAGCGTAATTAAATAATTAATTAAATCAAACAAAAGGCGACTAACAAGAATTTCGCAAGCAATTAAACAGCCAACTACAAAAAGCCGGCATTTTAGGCCTGGCCAGCTGCAAAGGTCAATAATCAGCATGAGAGACAATAGTACACCCCACAAATTTTGGCAGTACGTGGGCTCCAAATCAAATAAAAAGCCAAAAACAAAAAAACCGGTTGCTCTTCTCTACTTCCATATTTGTCTAAAACGAGTGCTGCTTAATTAGAAACACCTGTAAACAAAAACTGAAAGAAAGAAAAACTATACATATGTATTTTTAGTTGGCTTGCAACTAAAATAAAAAAAAAGAAAGAAAAAAACCGCAAAGCGCCGCTTGATGGCCAACTGACTGACTGACTTGCAGCTAAGGCAACGCAATTGCAGTCGGCATCTTGGCAGCAGCAGCAGTCACAGGCACAGCCACAGCCACAGCCGCCACAGCGCAAGCCGCATCGTAGCCATCATCATCATCATCTCCATATCAATCAACATCATCACGAGTAGCAAAAGTCGTTGCCGCAGCAGCGCAAATTCTTCTTCGTCTTGGCCATGGCCAAGAACTTGCCACTGCCACCGCCACCGCCATGACCACTGATGCCGCTGCCAAGAACACGAACATTGGCCAAAGAGCATGGCCAAAGTTACAACGCGCTGCGTCTCAGTCGCAGCCTCAGTCTCCGTCTGTGTGTCTCTGTCTCAGGCAAAGCCGGCTTGTGCTCTTCGGCGTCGCGCCGTGGCGTCGCTGCTGCTGCGCTGTTCGCGTCGTGCTTGGGGGCTGCCAACTTGCTATTGCTATTGGTTCTGCGAAATTGCTGTGCTTAAGCGTGGGGAATTCTTGCAATGCATTGAAAACGCCAGTGCTTATTCATTGACCACAGCGCAGTCGGCGACGAGCGCACTTGCAGCGACCTAGCACAGTGGGTCCCAAAAGAGATGCAGACTCAAGTTCTAGAAATATTTTCTCTCTCTTAAAATGAAAGCAGAAAAGAAAACATACGATTTACCTCAAATGCAACAAGAAGAATATTCAGACAATACTCATTTCTTTTGAAGTTGAAAATAAAGTCAAATATGTGGATTTAAGAAACTGGAATCTATTATATAAAATGAGTGATTTTTCTTAAGAATTTCATAATTTTGTAATAATCACAGAATATAAAAAATATTAAATTTTTATCAAGCATCAGCTGGGATTTACTAATTCAATAATCTTTTATTATTGTCCACTGTGCGCTGGCGTTGGCGTCGGCGTCAACTTTGCGAGATCCAAATGATGAGCAACTTTGTTGCCGTCACTGAGCATTTGAGTGTGGTTGCTGCTGTCTGACTGTGTCTCAGTGTGTGCGTATATATGTGTTTGTGTGCGTGCGAGTGTGTGTGAGCTGTGTGTTTGCGTTCACGTGTCGCTGCTAACGTCGCCGTCAACATCTCTGTCGCAGTCGTCGCTGTCGTGTTATTGCTTCTGCCTTGTGTTTCTGTGTCTGTGTATGTGTGTGAAGTTCTTTTGCGCTCTCTTAGAGCGCTTTGGCGCGAGTCTGGCGCTCTCTCTGCCAGCAGCATTTGGTTTGGCCCCGGCCCGGCTTCACTTGGCATGTTCGCTTGTCGCTGTCGCTGTTGCTGTTCGAAGCTGCTGTCTCTGCTTCTGCTGGCGTCGCAGTCGCAGTCGCAGTTTCTGCTGCCGCGACTGCCGCTGCTGCTGTGGTTGTTGCTGCTGTCGCCGATGTTGGTTCGTTCGTTTCGTTTGATTTTCACCAAAAGCCGCTCGACGTAGGCTATATAAATAAGCGCTGAGAAGCTATTGGGTCCGAGTCTCTTTGAATTTTATGAAGCGGTTGTATCTTGGTGGTGCCCCCACAGCAACCAGCAACTAGCAACCAACATCAGCAACCAGCAACCAGCCAACCACAGCAGCCAGCAACCAAAAACGAGCAACATAGAACCCGAGTTTTGTCTCGTTTTTGTCGTCTGCGGCCAGCTTCATATAAAATTGTCCAGAATATCTCACGAGACAATTTTATCCAAGAAGCTAACGAACTTTTTTTGACACAGTGGATTATTTTAAAATCTTAAAAATATTAAAACAAACGAAATACAGTGATTTTTAATAAAAGAAAAGTTAAACAGAAAAAAAAACTAATAAAAACTGTTAAGTTCGTGCGCGAAATGTTGAGCAGCGTGCAAAAGGAATAAGGATCTAAAAACTGTGCAAAAAAAAGTGCAAAACGAATCTTAGAAATATTAACAAAAATTAATCAAAAAGATAAAACTGCAGTACAAGTGTCATAGTGTTGAAAAAGAATTTTTCAACGAATTCTTTTCGAAAATATTTGACGTGCTGTTCTTGAGTGAAAAAGGTGAGTTATCAAAGTCCTTTCTAGACATTTTAATCTTACAATGTAAATGATAAATAAATGATGGATTAATAATCTGAAATTGCACTTGGTGTAGAAAATAACTGTTTAAAAATAAGTGTTTGAAAAGAAAAAATCGGTGAAGCACACAAAAACCCGAATTATAAAAAATAACTCTGTCAAATCTAGATTTTTTTTAAAATGTACGAATCTTCCAAGAAAAAAATTTGATACACATTGAAATATATATTTTGAAATAACGCGAAATATTTTTTGAGTCTCATAAAAATTTTTGAAAATAATGTAAATTTTGATTTTGTATTTTAAAGATTTTGAATAAATAAATTGACATTTTGAGAAATAATGCAACGAGTGTAAAATAAAAACTCTAAGTTTAAAAATATTAAAATAAAAAAGTTGTTTAAAAAAAATTTTAAATTTTAAAATTTTGTTTAATTAATTTTTAGAACCATAACTTAATATATAAAATTAGATACAATCTAAAAAGTTTAAATAAATTAATTTCATTATTGAAAATAATATACATTCTATTTTATTTAAAACAATATTGAATTTAGTACACCATTTTACACAACTTTGATAAACCGTATTTTAAAATTAAAAGTGTACTTTTGAACATTATTTAAAGCCAGATTTGTTATAAAAAATAAACGACTATGAATGCTATAACAATCGCATTTAAAATGTTGGAAATGCTTTATATACTTTTTGCTTTAGCACTTTGTTGCAATGATAAGCACATGTGCACATGTTGCATAACTTTTGGAAAAAAAAACTAGTTCGCTCAACTAGTTTGTTAGAAGGGCGGTGGGCTGTGGGCTGATTTTAAATTGATGCAAATATCCAATTAGGGCTATTTCCATTGCTGGGGATTTCATTGAATCGAATATAGACTAAAATGGGTATTTCTTTAATATTGTATTACAATTTAAATTACGTTTGTAATTAATTAAAATCTATTGGGAAAAATTAAAGCCAAAACCCAGCCAGGCGTTAAAACGGCCAAGTTAAGTTAATGGCTAAAAAGTTATTCATTCATAAAAACCGACGTTGACTGCAGCTGTTGCCGCAATTTGCAAACATTCATTCATATTCTCGCTCATTCATTCGCATACACAAAAACACACACACACACACATACATTTACAATTGCCGTGGCGCCTCGAGCCGTTGCACAACGTAGCCCCAACTCCATCCCCCCTTGCCCACTTGCAATTTTTATGGAAAATAGTTTTTCGTTCGTTTGCTGAACTATTTAAATTATGAAAGCCCATTTAACGGGTACTTGGTTGCCTGCTCTTGGCCAGCTCTTGGCCTGCTCTTGGCCAGCAAGGTTGCAGTGCAATTCTAATTAGAATTTATGCCCCACACCTAAATGGTTAAGGACTCTTTTGTCAGGCTCGTAAAAACCAAAAATTGTGCGCCATGTAAAAGCTTTTAGTTAGCCATAAATAATGCTAAAAACTATGGCAGACCAAAACGAATATAAAGTGCAAACCAAAAACGTTATATTTATCGTTGGCAAGTTTTTCAAACTGCTGTTGGGCCAATAAAAATTGCCGCAATATGGCATCCTGGCATCCTTTACTTATTTTTTTATTTTTTCTTTTTTTTTTGCCCTGAAATCGAAATGACTTTGGATGTTATTTGGTTTCTGCCAGAAAGAGATAGAGAGAGATTTTCATTGGCAGCTGGCCAGCCATAAAGCTAGCCTGATTCAGGGTTAGAGTTAGCAGCAGGTGTTTTGCCCATTTCCCTCATTTTTCTGTTGCCACTGCACTTTTGGCCAAAAAAAACTGTCCCTTTTGCATGAAAAGTGTGTTTGATTTATAGACAACATTTGTGGATTGGGATCTGAAAGTGGAGTCTGTCTGCAACGCCAAAAGCTTTACAGATTTATTGATGAGCCCACAAAAAAAAAATTGGCAAATGGTAAAGTCTGTTTCAGTTACTATCCATCCCACTCTCTTCATGTGGTTGCTCAGCAGTTTTTGCCGCACAGCAGCTGCAACAGTTTTCATTAAACGTTTGTAATATGCCTGAGATTTTTTGTGGCAACTCAGTAGCAAATTGCTACTGTGATTTTTTTCTGCTTATTATTTACTTTTTTTGATATCAAAAATCCTAACTAGAGTGTTAAATGCTCATTTCAAGAATGTTTTACTCAAATTTAAATAGTTTCCGGTTTCTTTCTTAAAGAGTGTCAAATTTTTCGACACTTGACTCTAATATTAAGTGCTTGAGTTCTAAAATTAATCCAGAGTGAATATCTCTTAAGATGTAAATTTCTTCAAGTGTAGCAAATTGGTTCTGCGACCTGTGTAAGGTTCAAGCAAACGCATTTTCCTATCAAGCTGTGATGTTTATCGGAAAGAGCGAAGAGAGAAGCGCACACACTGCGTATGCTTAATGTGTTGGCCAAGAAACACGTGCGTGGCAACAGTTTGATGAACTGATATCAATGTGGCAATTTCAAGCACTTTCTATAGATACTTTCAGCATCTCTGGCAATACCTTTTCAAATTCTTTTATCTCCGTTTCTTTGGCTTATGCTGCTTCTCGCTTATTATTTTGCGTGCCAAGGCTGAGTTAGTGTCTTGATTCAGTGCCTTTCTTTTGTGGTTGAGTTTCCTTTTCAGCCGCTCTTTTTTTCTTTTGCACAAAATTATCATAACAATTAAAAGCGATTGCAGTCGAGGCCACGAGAAGAACGCAATATTATAAGAATTATGATGTTGGCTTTTTTTTCTCGTGCTGGTAGGTTCTTTGACTTTATGTTAATTTATTTTAATTTTCGACGTCTTTTTTTAGTTAGAAAGAAAGACACAAAAGCAACTGCGAAGCAGAAAAAGAACTCACCCTCCTGGTGCTTTACCTAGCCAAAAAAAAAATAGAAAAAAATAAGTCGAAAGAATGAAATAAAAACAGACTTTAAAATTGTTAATTGTCTCCGACTATTTTAAGTTATGATGAGGGCAACATGTCGCTGACATCAGCTAACCAAAAGGAGCCTGAGACTGAGAACCTGACAAATTATATAATTATAGCCTCAATAGGGTTTGGTCGCTATTTTTGCCGTTAGATGATGCCATAATTAAATTATGCAAATCATATGCTGCGCTAATTGAGTAAAAAGCTGCTGCGGCTTCTGCTGCTGCTGCAGTCCAAAAACTCTGGAGCTAATTCCTGAAGCTATTTGGGAATAAATTTTAAAATGTTGCTTGAGCATAGTTATATTTACGATACAAGATCTAAATTTCCAGCTGCAAGAACAATGCGCAAATAATAATAATAATAACGCAGAAAATTCGATTTTCGTTATCTGGGCTTGGCATCACAAACGCATTGACGTTTCAAAAAAAATAATTTTAAGGAAAATACTATTACTTCTACATACATTTATATATTCAAAAGATATAACAAATATCTATTGTATCGATCAGCTAATACCAATTAACCAAATGCATGTTCAAGCAGCCCACAAATCAATTGTCTCTGGGCGATAACAGCTTGCGAATTAAATGATGACGGCCGCTGCTTTACTATTGTGAACGCTTTTGGCCAAATTACCTTGGCTGCTACTGTATATATACATATCTATATTTATGAGTGTTTTTTTTATATTATTTTGTTTGTTCCACTATTTGTTTATCGGCAGCACTTGAGGCAACACACAAAAGCCAAAGTGTTGCTTTTTACGCATGTGTGATTTTTGCAGCAATAATTGAGTAAATCGGTTTATGTGCAGCATTAGCAATTGTTGTTGGCCATTCTAGTTGTTGCTTGCGATTGTTGTTGTTGTTGTTGTTGTTTAAAGAAAGTAAGCGCAACTAAGCACATTACGAGTTAGCCATAAAGCGACACTTGCCGCACATTACGCCCAAGCGCCAAGGTTAAAGCGTGTGGCACAGAACTATCAGGTGTTTTACTACCTGAATGCCTGGCTGCCTGCCTGCCACAAGAACTTCGCCGTAAGTGTGTCGCGGGGCGCGAAAATTTCTCTAACCCAAATTGTTGTCGCCTCGTTGTTTGTTTTTGGTTTCGGCAGCGTTTCGATCTGGTTTGTAGCTGCTTCTTCTTCTACTGCTGCTGCTGCTGCCACTGCTGCTGCTGCTGCTGCTGCTGCTGCTACTGCTGCAGATGCTTTTAAGTTCAATAGCCAAAGAAAGTGTCTGGGCGATAGAAAGAAAAAGTGCGCAGTCTGCCTTCTCACTAATGGGCCACGTTTTCAAATACCGACACAATTACCCGTTGCCCAGTTGCAACTTGCAGCTTGCAGCATGCAGCTTGCACTTTTGGGCCCATTTGTCGTATACGTAATGCCAGTTATCTGCAACTATCGGAATGCACTTTGCCGTTGCCATTTAATGGGCCCCCCAAAAAGTGTGTTAATGCTCAGGCCATTAGCTGCAAAATGTATATTTTATGGCCCGCAAGGATTTTAGCTTAATATGCCGTTATGGCCAACGCCTTTTGGTATTCGGCATGCCACTTAAAATTTAGAAAATAAATGTATTTATATATATATATATATAATACCCGAAATGAGCGTTTATAATGACCAATAAGGCCAGAGTCACAGCCAATTGGTTGTAATTCAATGAGTCCAATGCGGTCAAGGTGTCAACAGTGTCCAGCAGTGTCAACAGTTGCCTGCATTTTGTTACTATTTGTTGTTGTTGCTGTTGTTGCTTAGTGTAATATCTCATATAAATTTGGCCAATTATTTGCTGCTTATTAGCTGTCACAACTAATGCGTGCGCGAATCGGGCCAAAAACCCAAAACAGTTATGCGCCCAACAATTAAGCCAACGGCGCTCCACAAAAAGAAATAGGTAAAACATTTAAACAAAAAAAAATAATATGCCAAATAGAAATGGAATGAATGTCTTTTGGATATCCAAAATGCCCATAAATTAATTCAATCGCCTCAGTTGCTGTTGCTGTTGCTGCTGCTGCTGCTGCTGCAATTGCCCGCTGGC